GAGTCAAACGATAACAGAACATAGTAGAACCACTTTGTGATTTTGGGTTTTTCTTTAGATTTCAGCGTAGATCTTTTGAAATATTTTTTCGACGAAAGCAGGTCGAACGACAACAGGACGTGGTAGAACCGCTTTGTGATTTGGTGTTTTTCTTAAGATTTCAGGTTAGATCTTTTGAAATATTTTTTCGACGAAAGCATGTCAAACGATAACAGGACGTGGTAGAACCGGTTCATGATTTTGGGTTTTTCTTTAGATTTCAGCGTAGATCTTTGGAGCGATGTTATCGAGGATAGCAGGTAGAACGATAACAGGACGTGGTAGAACCAGTTCGTGATTTTGGGTTTTTCTTTAGATTTCAGCGTAGATCTTTTGAAGTATTTTTCAAGTAGAGCAGTAGAACCACTTTGTGATTTGGGTTTCTTTAGAGTTCAGCTTAGATCTCTTGAAATATTTTTTCGAGGAAAGCAGGTCCAACGATAACAGAACGTAGTAGAACTGCTTTGTGATTTGGGGTTTTTCTTTAGATTTCAGCTTAGATCGTTTGCAATATTTTTCGAGGAAAGCAGGTTGAACGACAACAGAACGTGCTAGAACCGCTTTGTGATTGGGGTTTTTCATTAGATTTCAGCGTAGATCTTTTGAGGGATTTTATCGAGGAAAGCAGGTCGAACGATAACAGGACGTGGTAGAACCACTTTGTGATTTGGGTTTCTTTAGAGTTCAGCTTAGATCTTTTGAGGGTTTTTTGCGAGGAAAGCAGGTCGAACGACAACAGAACGTGGTAGAACCACTTTGTGATTTGGGGTTTTTCTTTAGATTTCAGCGTAGATTGTTTTGAGGGATTTTATCGAGGATAGCGAGTCAAACGATAACAAAAGATGGCGGGTGGAACTTTTTCGCTGACGATCGCTTTGCGAGTTTTTCGATAATGAAGCAGTGGATCTCGCTGTTTCACTCGAAATGACAGTAAAACGCACACGTCATACTAGCGCTCGTTTACACCGAAGACCTTATTCAGCCAGGTCATTCTAAAGGACGGGAGGAATACCCGTGTCATATCGATGATTTTTTTTTTCTTTCTTAAAACCTTTTTTGGACGATATCGGCATGGATCATCTGCCGGAATTTTCAAAGATAGCAGATCAATTCAACCCGATTTTTTTTATTTTTTGCGAATAAGACGCTGTAGATCGTTTGATAGTTGTTTTCGCTGACAGAAAATTAATCGTACCAATAAAGTTTTATTTGACGGCGATCGCTTAACGGATTTTTTTTTAACATTTACCTGGTGGAACGCACAGTAAAATGAGTACTTGAAACGCAGAATACCCTCGTCGCTTTGTCGAAGATTGTGCGATGCGATCAATCCGTTTTTATTACGTTTTATTTCGAGAAACGATGGAGTCGACTAGCTTTCACTTTTCTTTCCAAGCGATTAAATCATTTTGGCCTTTTTTCGAAGTTTGATGTTAATCGTTAATTTTTTTGCTGATGGCAAGTTGAAAAACGGGAAGAACGCGCTTCGCCGTTTAGAGGAGAACGTAATGAAATTCTAGATTTTTTACGCAGACGTCAGTGTTGATCGTTTTAAGGATTTATTTTTTTGAAGATAGCAGGTGAATTCGCCCTGATTATTTTGAATTTGAAGACGATTGCTAAGCGGAATATTCGAGAACGCACGACACAAGAAATCGCTCGTAGTATTCAAAATGGTTGAGCAAAACGTGGCCGTCAAAATTGCTGAACGAGACCCCCCACATTTAATTTAAATAGAATACCCTCGTTTTTTTATTTTCACGATAACGATATTCCGAGTTAATTTTCTTAAGATGTGGCCGTTTGATTGAGAATAACCGAGTGAAACGTAACCGCCGTTTGGTTGCACGACGAGGTTTGACGAGGATATGGCATTCGATATTGCTTTGCGATTCTTATTTCAAAAAAGAATGACAGAATTAACGACTTTGTGATGGTGTAGGGGCGATGTGGATCTACTTGCCACTTTTTTCAAAGATAAAGGGGTGGAACTGCTTGGTGTTTCAATTTTGATATCATGGGATGAAGTCGGTAACAATTTGTGAAAAGGCTAATGATCGAGTCCGACCAGACAACAGGCCCGCCATTGTCCTTCCATCTATGAAAATTATTACATCATTTCAACTTGGCAACAGGCCCGCCATTGTCTTTCCATCTTTGAAAATTATTACATCATTTCCACTTGACAACAGACCCGCCATTGTCCTTCCATCTATGAAAATTATTACATAATTTCAACTTGACAACAGACCCGCCATTGTCCGTCTGATTTTGCAGATTAATATATTATTTCCATCAGACAACAGACCCGCCATTGTCCTTACATCGATGAAAATTATTACATCATTTCAACTTGACAACAACTAGGCCCGCCATTGTCTTTCCATCTTTGAAAATTATTACATTTTTTCCATCAGACAACAGACCCGCCATTGTCCTTCCATCTATGAAAATTATTACATCATTTCAACTTGACAACAGCTAGGCCCGCCATTGTCTTTCCTTCTTTGAAAATTATTACATTATTTCCATCAGACAACAGACCCGCCATTGTCCTTCCATCTTTGCAGATTAATGTATTTTTCCACCAGACAACAGACCCGCCATTGTCTTTCCATCTTTGAAAATTATTACACTATTTCAACTGGACAACAGACCCGCCATTGTCCTTTCATCTTTGCAGATTAATGTATTTTTCCACCAGACAACAGACCCGCCATTGTCTTTCCATCTTTGAAAATTATTACACTATTTCAACTGGACAACAGGCCCGCCATTGTCCTTTCATCTTTGCAGATTAATGTATTTTTCCACCAGACAACAGACCCGCCATTGTCTTTCCATCTATGAAAATTATTACACTATTTCAACTGGACAACAGACCCGCCATTGTCCTTTCATCTTTGCAG